TGTCCTTCGGTCCTTCTGCCTGCTCTGCTCCCCGCTCTGGCTCTGGTGAATCCTCTCACCCTCCCGCGCTTCTGACTGTACCCAGTGCTTGTATAAATAAATAGATAAATCTTAAAAAAAAAAAAGAACAATTAAAAAAAAAAAGAGTTGTTTTAAAAAAAATAAAATGTGAATCAGATCAAGTTATTCCTGTTTGAAGCCCTCCAAAAAGTCCCAAATTTCAGAAGATAATCCAAAATCCTTACCATGACTAGGAGGCCCTCTATAATCTTATTCCCTGATATCTGTCGGATACTACCTCCTACTATTCTCTACCTTGCTCTCTCAACTGCAGTGGCCTCTTGCCATTCTCCCAATTTATCCATTATGCTCTCACTCTGCGGTTTTTTATACTGGCTGTCCCAGTATAAAACTGAAGCTAGAACTCTCTTCTCCCAGATACACACACCTTGTACCCTCATTTCCTTCAGGCCTCTGCTCAAGTATCATCTTCTCAAACAAACTTCCCCTGTCATCATTCCCATTATCCTCTATCCCTGTAGCCTGTGTTTTCTCTTTAGTATTTGTCAATTATATTATTTCTTAAAGCTCTTGCTCCCGTTCTCCAGACTATAAACTCCACACCATGAGGGCTTTTGCTAATTTTGCTCAAATTAGCTCATTGCCTATATTAGCATGTGGCAGATAGTAAATGCAACAGGATGAAGATTCCTTAATGTGTACAATTAAAAGAAGGAAAAGCCTCCATAGTTAGAAATAACCCCAAAGTAATCTGCATAATCAACACACCCAGCTTTATGCATACATTCATGCATTCGTCTGGTCTATCTAAATAACAATTATTATTGGCGACAGCCTTATGTAGTAAACTGTGGAATTGCTTAGTCCTTCCAAAGAGAGGAAAATCAATTATACATGATGAAGTTCAGTCTATGATGCTGATACATCAACGCTTACAGATTTAAGCAACAGGCATTTTCCATTTCAGTTCAAAACCTGATCCAGTTTAAGACTTATGCCTTCCATCACCACCAATCTTCTGTTTCTCTCTCCTGCTTCTCTCAGAGAGAAGGGAGACAGAGTCTACATTAAAAAAGGCTTTGAATTTCAACTCCAAAAAAAAATTCAGGCTCTGGGTGGAAAGTGATGTTTTTCTTTACAAATTTCTAGATTGTACTTGAGCACAAATGAAATCTGTCTTTTGCTACTTACAAACATTTAAAGTGTGGCCATGCAGGTCATTCCACATGAATCACAAGACATTATCATCTATAGAGTAAGGATAGTCTTAGAAACTGTGCCCTAAATTTATACTTGAGGCCTTTCAGTGCACTAAAATTAATTTAGTATTTCATTAAAATGGAACAAACCAGGTTGGTGATTTAAGAAATGTCTGAAAGCAAGGATTTCCAAGCAAGCAGTGTCCAAGTGCTCAGATCCCAACATTTTAAATGAACACCAGGATATTCATTAATACAGTTTTTCCCAAGACATTTCCCCCAATAATCTCTAATATATAAAAGCAATCCATTTTTTTTTTCCCACTTTGGTGCAAAAGTGATCAGGATAAGACAAAAAAAGTTGCCCAAAGGAAATGATTTTAGATAGGACTTCTGATAAAAAATCAATAAGCAATTTAGAATTTAAAAATGAGTAAGCCCTCAAGTGAGTGAACATATAGGACACCAGAAATATGATTGAGAATTTACTCCTAGTTTCACAGACTCCACTATTGGTGAATACATAGCAAGGGGGGGAGGGGGGAGGCATTTAAGTCATTCCTCCAGTGATGCCAGACAGCTTTGCAAACAAATTCTAGATTGCTATCTCCAATTTATTTCTATTATTAGAAGTTAAGGCACACAGAGGCCAAGGACCAAGTAGACCTTTATGCTGGCAATGTTGGTGGGTAAAAAAAAGAAAACAGGTGTATTAACGTCACATGCATTCTTACTTTTATCAAACAACCTGACTCACTCTGAAGTTAGAGGAGCACTAGATAGAAAGATTTATTTATTCGCATACTAACTCCCCCATTTCTAACCATCACCCTTTCCCTTCCACCCTCTCTCACAGGCTAACCGCACATTTCCACTGTCGAAGGCCACATTAAAAGACAGCAAAAGACCACAATGGCCTAGCTAGTCTTTAACACAACCACTGGTGGGAGCATGCTCTTTGAGCCCCCAGGCCCTGGCTCTACACTTGTAAGTGGAAGTGGGTACGTGAGCCCTATGGGGTCTGGGGAAAGAGAGAGCTCAAACAATGTTCTTGTCAGCATTTTAAACAAAAAATCCATTCAATGAGAATGGCACCATGTTCCTTTTGCCCTTTCTCCCTAGGAACTAAATTAAACAGATTACAGACAGTGGCAAGAGCTGGCCTTAGAACAGCCTCCCCCTTATTTGTTATTTTTAGCAATTTAATTCGACAACGCCTGACAACTAAACATGCCTAGAATAGCTAAAGGGAGGGGGGGGATTATCAGATACTACCAGCAAAAAACACACTAGTCATCACTTCCTCCAACCCGAAGAAAGAATCATTTTCCATGTCTTTATAGCATCACACACAGTTTGAGCCTTTAGAGTCTCATAGAAAAACAGAGTACGTATAAAAGACCAGTGGAAACCGATAATGCTTCCTGACCTGTTCCACCCTCACATGTGTTTTCTTAAAAACAAAAGCAGAGTAAAATGAACTAAATTGCTTTACAAAAAAGCTAGGAGTACCATGCATCTGTGACCATTTTGGAAGTTTGCCTCATAGGAGAATTATGTACCCAAAAGAATGGCTTCATGAATTGTGATGAAATTCAAATATTTTTACTGGGCTAGAGGTAGGTAAGAGATTTGTTTAAAAGAAAACAAAGGGAGGTCAGAGAAGCTCCTCTAATAAATCATAATTCTCAAGACAGCATCACCCCATACATACTATTAATAAATGAAATACCATAGTGAAAATTCTTTGAAAAAAATCAATAAAATGGTAAAACAGGGTAATGTCCTAAGTAGTGTAACTATCTATACCCACAAATTAACTGAAATTCATAAAAAATATATTTTATGAAATTTAACAAGATGCCATTTATGAAAGTATCCCTGTACATGAAATTATTTATCCGCATTTTCTGCCACTTATCGTAGGTTATCACGTTTTTTAAAAGACAATGCAGGATAAAGCACTATTATTTTAGTGTGGAGTTATCTCTAAAACACATGATGCTTAATATAAACTACTTTAAGCCATCACACACACATCTCTGTGACTTCAAAGTCTTAAGTGACTACTGCAAAGATATCAAAGAAGATGCCAACACCTTGTATTATACTTTTGCTGTAGAGAGACAACCAGTTTTATTTTAGCTTCAAAAACAGGATTCCAGGGCCTCCCTGGAAGGGAGGGGCTAAGTTTCAGCACTATCAAGCTATCAGCAGCCTCTGCAGCATGAGTTCAATACTCAACCAGGGAGGTGACCCACATGGCGAGCAGACCTCTTCTGTCTTGTCCGCTGCTCCCCTCAGCAGTGTATTTCAGTCAGTCTGCCTGTTCTGCTCCCCATTCTGTCTCTGGCGAATCCTCTCACTCCCAAACCTCTGGCCTATACCCCAGATCTTTATGCATAAATAAATAAAATAAATCTTAAAAAAAAATAGGATTACAATTAACTTTTTAAACTAAAGTAATGATCTGGGCATGAAAGGAAACTGGTATTCTATTTTATTTGGCCTCCTACCATCTTTTTGTTTCAAGGAAGCTTTTTGCTCCTAATGTGGTAATTCAAAAAAGACAAAGTAATAGCAATAAACTTACTAGAAGTGACTCTAGGTATCTTCTAATCCAACCCTCTCATTTTACAGATGAGGACACAGCTTACAGTACAAGCAAAGGCTGGACTCCAGAATTCCTAAGTCTACCTAAAGTATTTGAATTAGGAATTTAAGGTAATGAATGCTCTGCTATTAAAACCAGTAGACTCGGAGACCTGCATTTGTGGCTTAAGTATAAGCTGGGATCTTGTTCTTTTGAACTCACATGCACAGTGTGCTCATTAACACAGGTGTAGCCTTGCCCACATTGAGTACTTGACAACTCACTTCTTCTGGCCAGTTTCTATGATGAGAGGACTCATCAGAATCAAGCTTCTGGGGCAAAGAAAAGTATCCTGACTAGTATATTAGAACCCTCACCAACTAGTTGTTAGAGCAGGGAGACATTCAACAACAGGAAAGAAATCAAAATCCAATTCATCAAAAGATATCATTTTTTAGACCGCCTAGAAATGACTGGAGAACTCTCTTGCATGGGAGAGAGGAGGCAAAAGATAAATATTTATGGCAAGAGAGAAAGGAAAGTATAAATCATAAAGCAGATAACAGCAAAAGCTGGGGTCAATAACCCTGGGAAGCATTCAAAAGGACAGTCCATGTGGGTACGAATACACTGAGGAGGGGAATCCAGGCACCCTGGGAATGTATCCTAGGAAAAAAATAACTGAATTGAAATGCAAAAACTTGAACTCTGGGCTAGATGGAATGCAAATTTTTCTTTTAGATCGATCACAAAATAAAGATATGCACCAATGAACAGATCAAATCAAAGGACTAAGTGTGTAAAATAACTGAAATATGTATTTTGAAGTAACAAAGGCCATCTAACTAAAAGAACATATCTTTTTGAACTGTTTACATCTAAGTTCACACCAGACATGAAAAACGTCCACGGAGGAAATGAAATCTGTCACAGATAGTTTACATTTGGGCAAACATTAGCAGATACCCTGACCAAGGTACTGGTAACAATCAATAAAGAATACCCAACCAAATAAAGAGCATATATGGGCTTTTTCAGGCTCATACCAACTCTTCTCTGAAAGTCAGAGAGGAGGATTCAGCAGCTCTAAGACACATGAGCACAGAGAAGAGAGACAATACACTAGAAACTCCAGAGTTTCCAACAATCTTTCTTTTAGACTTGTTTTAAATAATTAAAAACTATTTTAAAATGCTCTTTTTATAAATGTTGAGAATGCAAATGAATTCTAGATAAGTATTCATATCTGAAATCCTAATGTTGGGAAAATAAATCACTTCATGCACAACTCCGTAAGTGAAAACAATATGGGAAAGAGATTAATTTACTCCTTGCAATTATTTTTCTTTTTAATGTTTTAGAAGACTCAGAGGTGTCTGGCTATGTAGCTACTATTGAATGTGGGAAATCATCAAGCTTATTTTTAGATTAGATATTTTATACTTCTCTCCAGGACTCAAACTCTCCTGGGTTGAAGTGGAGGATGTTTCTGAGAAACAGTTCTCCTAAGCAAAAGATTAAGAGAGAAATTATACAAATACTCTATTAAGAACATCTTGACTTGTTAAGGACAAAAATGGACTGTCTAGAAAGGTACCTTATGGTACAACTATATAAAGGAATAGCATTTAGCAATGAAAATGAACAAATAGCAATCTCAGGTAGCAAAATGAATATACTTCAAAACAAAATATTGAGCAAAAAAAATGGGGGCTTCCCTGGTGGCCCAGGAGTTAAGTCTCAGCACTATCACCACTACAGCTTGAATTCGATGCTGGCCGAGGAGATAACCCACAGGTGCAGCAGAACTCTCCTGCCTTGCCTGCTACTCCCCCTCAGCAGTGTATTTCAGTAGATCTGCCTCTTCTGCTCCCCACTCTCTCTTTGGTGAATCCTCTCAACCCCACACCTCTGGCCTATACCCTACATCCTTTTACACAAAATAAAATAAAATACATTTTTTAAAAATATTGAGCAAAAGTAGCAAGGAAAATACACACACACACGATATTGTTTATATCAAGTTCAAAAACAGCCAAGATTAAATTATACTTTGGGGATATATACATAGATAGTAAAACTATACATTTAGAAGGAAATTATCACAAAAGATAAGAGCAGGATGGAAGTACTGGGGTGGTATGTAATTTGGAAGAGGGAAATAAGGAGAGGCTTCTAGTGTATTGTCAATATTGTTTTCCTGAATGTTACAGGTATCTGCTATAAATTATTAAGTTTTGCATACTTTAATACATGTTTCCGTTAAAACTCTATTTCACTACAAAATAAATACATGACTAATTGTTTAATGGGTTCTAAACTTTGAGCTATGCAACCAGATAAACCATTGGGTGAAATTCTTGCTGAGTGTATAAAAAACAGTCCATCACTGGTTCTGCTCTCACCTGTCCTCTGTCTTCATTGAAAGACACAAATCACTGTTTATCATACAGTAGTGTCCACTCCACATCACCTCTAAAAAGGGGCTCCCATCAGAAGCACAACAGTACCAGCCGTAAAATGCACTGGTTAGGGCAAAAACTGTACACCCATCCAAGTGCCTACCAGTTACCACCCATGCTATGGAAAAAATGATCCTCAATAGGCAGAGTAAAATCTCCTCAATCATGGGAACTCCTCCAAAACATTTTCTCATCAGAGTCTCAGAACTCAGCCAACTGCTCAGTGTCATAGGCACCTCCTATCCAGTTCTCTCACGACTATTCTTCCTACACGTTTCAGGAACCACTGTGTGAACAAAATTGCCAGTTTTGTGGAAGAATCAGGACTTTATGTCATAGAGTGGCTTAGAGTTTACTTATAGCGTGAGTTACAGAGTTATTTCACAACCCTGGGATTGTAACATTCTGCGTCAGAAGTGGCACTAAGCAGGTCAGAATGTCCAGGGTTTCCTTTTCTAATTCCTCATTGCTGAGCTAATCAGGGTTGGTAGAAGGGGTGATACCATGTCACAGACAGGGGAAGGGAAGTGGCCAGCCAGGATATGCATATGCTAGAATACAGTGGGTACTTTAGACTGAAGGTAGATGAGCCTGAAGCAATCACTGCGTGGCCCACCTGCAACAAGGGAGAGACCCATTAGAGAATGGTGGTCAAAATGTATCTATGCATCACAGAAAGCTTTACAGTTCTTTCAAGGGTTTAAATATCTGAAATTGGGATTGGATGACAAGCGATTAGAAACTGAGCTGTGGGCCTCCCCAGTGGTGCAGTGGTTGAGCGCTGGGTTGCGAAGCTGCCTGCGGCCTCTGCGGCGCCGGTTCCATCCCCGGCTGCTCCCCGGCCACTGGAGGAGGGTCCCGCATGGCGCGCAGACCTCTCCTGCCGCCCGCTGCTCCCCTCAGCAGTGTACTTCGGTCCTTCTGCCTGCTCTGCTCCCTGCTCTGGCTCTGGTGAATTCTCTCACCCTCCCGCGCTTCTGACTGTACCCAGTGCATGTATAAACAAATAAACAAACAAACAAATAAATAAATAAAACATGCCTCTATAAAAAAAAATTTAAAAAAAAAAAATCAAAAAAAAAAAAAAAAGAAAAGAAACTGAGCTGTATCACTTCATCTGAATGCTGAAGCTGTTTCCCAACTACAAAAGAAGTCCTTAAGTAACCATTTCCTCTCTACACCAAAAAAGCAAGCAGAAACACAGAATGAGTTATTCACTCTTTAGGAGACATCTCCGCAATGTCTCAGTATGTTTTAATTGAACTTTCATGAAAAGTGCATTTTCTCAAAGTCTACTATTTTTCTCCTTGTAGCAATGCTGTACATTTCAAAAATTATTTTTACAGAGACAGATGAGACTCAAAAGTCTTAACTCCAAATCCCAAACAATTAATTTTAAAAAATAAACTTTTGTACTTTTTAATATCAACATAAGCTATATTTTTTATGTATTACACATTCGGCTATCTTCTTTAAAAAGTCGTAAGATAGGGGCCTCCCCGGTGGCGCAGCAGTTGAGCGCTGGGTTGCGAAGCTGCCCGCTGCCCGCAGCCTCTGCAGCGCCTCTACAGCACCGCTTCGATCCCCGATCCCTGGCTGCTCCCCGGCCACCTGAGGAGGGTCCCACTTGGTTCCCACCCCCAAACCAGCCCCCGCCAACCCTCCCAACCTGAGCCAGCCAGGGAGCAACCCACATGGCACAGCAGACCTCTCCTGTCTCGCCCGCTGCTCCCCTCAACAGTGTGCTTCGGTCAATCTGCCTGTTCTGTTCACCACTCTGTCTCTGGTGAATCCTCTCACCCCCCGCATCTCTAGCCTGTACCCCAGTTCTTGTATGCGTAAATAAATAAATCTTTAAAAAAAAACAAAACTACGTAACACTATCATATAGCCAATCTGCTCTGAAAATATTTCCTAATCAATTCCAACAAAGTGATTGTGGTCTGAAGAACAACCCAACCTAGGAGTATTAAAGTATAAATATGGCTCATGGGCTACACGATGCCCAGATGCCCTGATGCTGACGCTGCTGAGAATTCAGAGAAGAGGGGCTTGGCTCTCCTTATCCCTCAATAAAGCTGTTCAAAATATTTTTTTAATGTAAATCTGGAATTTTAAGGAGAAAAAAGGCAATTCAGGCTATCTTTCCAATATTAAGAGAGCACTTGTCTTTATCCTTCTAGTAAGTAATATAACTCCCTTGCAAGGGTACCCTCACCTCAGGACCACAAAAGGAATGGGTCAACAGATAAGAAAGGCCACCAGGTTGTGGGCGCAGCACAACAGAGTTATCAGAAGTTAAAACAAATTCAGGTTACCTTTCGTGTTCAAAGAAAAGTCGGGTGGTGAATCTGGAGTGGACAAATACAAAGAAACACTAAGAAAAAGGCAGGGTAAAAGGCAGTCTAGGAAATACCCATGGAGATGGGCTCTCAGGTTAGAGAACCTGGTTCAGACCAGCATCTGTGTCGGGGAACAGGTTTGTCCACCATGACATTTACGCAGACTATTGGTAGGGAGTGAAGAAGCATATACAGTGAAGAAATCCACTAAGTGAGTTACCAGTCCTGATCAGAAACTGATCCTAAGATCTATACCAAAAATAACCTTACAGCTTCATAGATAAAAATTACTAAACGAAAGTAGCTTGTCCTTTATCTACAGAGTTATGTATAAATTGTGCCTCCCCAACTTAATTTTATGGTATGTAAAGATAGAAATTAATGATTATGACAATTACATAGGATTAAGGTGAAACAACTGGACTGTCAAGAAATACAAGGGTCAGAAGAAGACATTGTAGATTTGAAAGGAGGAACCACTGGGAATGCTGGAAAAACTAATTAGAGTTCTGAATCTATATCAAGCTTCCAAAGTAGTAAGATCCATATTTATGAAGACTTCAACTGGTAATAGTTTATATTCCCAAATTCCCATATTGTGCTATGAAACTAAAATAATTAAGCAGGGAAAAAAAAAATCACCTAATGTAACACTGAGGAATCCAAAAATACTAAAATAATTCAACAACAACAAAACAACACAAATTAAAATGTGGGGAGAGGTTGTGAACACTTTTTGAAAGATGATATACAGACAGCTAATAGGCATATAAAGAGATGTTCATTATCTGTTATTACTAGGGAAATGCAGATCAAAACAATGGGATATCACATCATACCTGCAAGGATGGCCATTATCAAAAAGACAAGAAACAACAAGCGTTAACAAGAATGTAGAAAGGGGACCCCATGGCACATTGTTGGTGGGAATATAAATTGGAGCAACCATTATGGAAAAAACTGTATAGAAATTTGGCAAAAATTTTTTTTTAAGATGTATTTATTTATGCATACAAGAACTGGGGTCTAGGCCAGAGGTGCAGAGAGGTGAGAGGATTCACCAGAGACAGAGTAGGAAGCAGAACAGGCAGATCTACTGCTGAGGGGAGCAGCAGGAGAGACAGGAGAGGTCTGCGGTGCCATGTGGGTTAGCTCCCTGGCTGGAGATCAAATTCATGCTGCAGTGTGGCTGATGATAGTTTGATAGTGCTGAGACTTTAACCCCTGTGCCACCTGGGAGCCCTAAACCAATGTTATTTTAATTAAAAAAATTGTTTTACATTGTTTGAGGAGAGCATCTCTGGATCCATTTGGGAAAAGCCACTGACCATTTGAGACTTGGTAACTTAGGCGGTTTTCATTTCCAGCCTCTTCTACTTCCTAGGTTGCAGGTCCATCTTGGAAGTGGATTCCTTTGCTCTTAGTTGGGGGTTTGCTTCCTCTCCCTAGATGACACTTTGATTCTAATTGAATGGTTTACTATATCAAGTTTGTAATGCAAAAGTGAGGAGATAGTAGATGTTTCAGTTAATATCAATGAGTAATGGAAGGATAAATGCAAGTAAAATGTGAATTGAAGACCCATTTAAAAAAAAAAAAAATTTTAAATGTAGTTCTTGTCCTAAAACTGTCTGCCTGTGTCTGTGTAGGTATCTCTTTTAACAATCCTTTCTCTTTTAGGGCCTCCCCTGGTGGCGCAGGCAGTCAAGCACAGCATTGTGAAGCTGGCCGCAGCCTCTGCAGTGCGGGTTCGATCCTGGCCAGCCCACGAGAATCCCATATGCGCAGCAGACCTCTCCTGTCTCACCCGCTGCTCCCCTCAGTGGTGTGTTTCACTCAGTCTGCCTGTTTTGCTCCCCGCTCTGTCTCTGGTGAATCCTCTCACCCTTCCGTGCATCTGGCCTGTGTACCCTGGTTCTTGTATGCATGAATAAATAAGTCTTTAAAAAAAAACAAAACAAAACTTTCTCTTTCAAAAGCGGCAGCAACAGCAGCAACTCTCTGTCCACCTACATCTATGCAGGTGTCCCTTTTTTCCTAATAAACCCATCCTTTTTAAATGCATTAAGGCTGCTCAGGAGAAGTAGCATTAAACTAAGACCTTAAGGATTAATACATGGAGTTGGTAAAGGCTTAGTTAAGGAAAAAGTGGAGGGAACTACATTTGCAAAATTCTAGTAGAAACAAATAAACCATAACAACTTCTAAAAGTATCTCCGCATGGCTGGCACACACAGTGCTATAAAAGAAGATATTGGAGGGCCTCCCCGGTGGCGCAGCAGTTGAGCGCTGGGTTGCGAAGCTGCCCTCAGTCTCTGCGGCGCCGGTTCGATCCCCGGCTGCTCCCCGGCCACCAGAGGAGGGTCCCACATGGCGCGCAGACCTCTCCTGCCGCCCGCTGCTCCCCTCAGCAGTGTACTTCGGTCCTTCTGCCTGCTCTGCTCCCCTCTCTGGCTCTGGTGAATTCTCTCACCCTCCCGTGCTTCTGACTGTACCCAGTGCATGTATAAACAAACAAACAAATAAAACATGCCTCTATTAAAAAATAAATAAATAAATAAAATAAAAGAAGACAGTGGAAAAGAGGAAGATGAGAGAAATAAACAAGGCTTCTCATAAACATCCTTGAAGGCTGTTAAAAAGTTTGAACTTTACCCTAAAAACAAAGATGATGATTATGAGGAATAACAGCACCAGATTTCACATTTTAGTTTAAATATATAAAAAGGATGGAAGGGCAGAAAGCTGGAAATGTGGAAACCAACTCAGATGTTACTGCAAATGGTAGCAGGAGCTGGTTTAAAGGTGGGGAAAAAATTCCTGAAGGAAATGCCATTACTGGAAAAAACAACAAAGAAGTAATATGGTTCAGGAAAGCCAACTTAATCCAAGGAGGATTTAAAATATAAATTAAAGCAATAAAATCACACCTAAACATATCCCAGAGGAACTACAAAGCTTGCAGGACAAAAAGAGAAAATTAAAAGCAGCTAGAGAGAAAAAGGCAAAGGAACAACAATTAGACTGACAGATGACTTTTCAACGGCAACAATGGAAGTCAGAGAAGTCAGCAGGTATACTAATGCTGCCTTTAAAAGAGTTGAAAAATCCCTGAAAATATAGAGCAAAATGAAACATATCCTCTGAACAGTTATAGAGTAATAAGCATTTACAGCACCCAAATAATGTTCCTAAATACTGAACTAACAACAGCCGGTGGAGAAACTGACATATCGTTATAGATGGTGATGTGGCACATCGCAATAAAGTGAATAAGTAGAAAAAAATCAAGACACAAAACATTTGAACACAACAATTAACAATGTACCTTGCATAAGTGCACATGTGGGTATGGGAACATGCATACCAACTATAAAGGTAGGATGGGGGAAAGTATAGGACTGCCTCAGGGAAGAGTAGAGTGTGCAGTGGGTGATATTAAGAACACAGGTTAGAGTAGTATTTGGGAAATGTACTAAATGTAGAGACAGGGCTCACACAATAATTGAATGTTGGGGTAATTAAAAAACCTGTAATGGGAGGAGGAATAAAAACAAGAAATTGAATATATTTCTTATATTACCAAAGGGTGAAAAACAGTATATATAATTTCTCTTTATTTAAAAAGAAATGTATGTGGATAAATGTGTTTATAAAAAGAAGTTAGGAATGAAATGCATCAAATTATAGATGTGAAGGGCCTCCCTGGTGGCACAAGGGGTTAAAGTCAGAGCACTATGAAGCGATCTCCTGCTCCCCTCAGCAGTGTATTTCAGTCAACCTGCCTATTCTGCTCCCCTCTCTGTCTCTGGTGAATCCTCTCACCACCACACCCCACACCTCTGGCCTGCACCCCAGCTCTTGTATGCATAAATAAAATAAATCTTTAAAAAAAATTGCATGGGCCTCCCCGGTGGCGCAGCAGTTGAGCGCTGGGTTGCGAAGCTGCCCGCGGCCTCTGCGGCGCCGGTTCGATCCCTGGCTGCACCCCGGCCGCGGAGGAGGGTCCCGCATGGCGCGCAGACCTCTCCTGCCGTCCGCTGCCGCTGCTCCCCTCAGCAGTGTACTTCGGTCCTTCTGCCTGCTCTGCTCCCCGCTCTGGCTCTGGTGAATTCTCTCACCCTCCCACGCTTCGGACTGTACCCAGTGCATGTACAAACAAAACAAAACAAAACAAACAAACAAATAAATAAATAAACATGCCTCTATAAAAAAAAAATTGCATATCTTTGACATTTGCAAATGTGCAGAGAAAAGGGAAAGGTCATATTTTAATTGTTTAATTATCTGTTCGACTTTTTCTTGTTTTAGAGTACGCTTCTATAACTTTCATAACCTATTATAATTTTAATAACAGAAAATAAGACATTAAAAAGAAAAAAGAGAAAATAACTTTCTAGGGGAGAGGCCAAAGTTTAGTGCTACTATTTTTTTTTTTGCAGCTATAATTAGCATTTCAGATGCATACCAACTAATCTACTTTTATTACCTGAAAGATACCAGCATACTCTATTTGATAAAACTCCACAAAAGGAAAATTTGAAAAATAAATTTCCTAATACTCAACAGAACTGAAAAATATGCTAAAATCATCATCTGTGGGGCCTCCCCGGTGGCGCAGCGGTTGAGCGCTGGGTTGCAAAGCTGCCTGCAGCCTCTGCAGCGCCGGTTCGATCCCCGGCTGCTCCCCGGCCACCAGAGGAGGGTCCCACATGGCGAGTAGACCCCTCCTGCCGCCCGCTGCTCCCCTCAACAGTGTACTTCGGTCCTTCTGCCTGCTCTGCTCCCCGCTCTGGCTCTGGTGAATTCTCTCGCGCTTCTGACTGTACCCAGTGCTTGTATAAATAAATAAATAAATAAACAAAATAAATCTAAAAAAAAAAAAAAAATCATCATCTGTGGCAACTTTACCATGGTAAATTTTGTAACTATGAATGTTACAATTTATCAAACACAGATATTAGATGGAAAAAATAATCCATGCCCTCCTCCTATCTTATTTCCTTAGTGTAACCAGTGTTAACAATTTTATGTTACATATCATTTTCAATGTTCACATGCAGATCTTGTTTTTTGTTTGTTTTCACAAAAATGATAATTATATACATATTATTTTGCATCTTACTACTTATTCATCAGATAATTTTAGATGTTTACTTATAGTTGCAAAACTCATTTTTTGTTACCTGTCTGAAATAGTTTCAGACAGATCAAGACACTTTTGTTTGAAAACACTAGAGGATTCACTCTAAGATTGGCCTGACAAAAATGACAAAGTAGGTCACAATAACAACCTGACTACTATTAATCAGGTAACACTTTTTTTGTTTGCTTATTTGTTTTGTTTTTACAATGTATCTTTCTTAGCTACAAGTCTATTATCAGGTTTCTTTAAATTATCAGTAATCAAACAAAAATAAGCCTAAGTAACCTCAGACACTGCATGCTCCCAAGTCACATCAAGTGGGTACTCCTGAAAAATCCCCAGGAGGCTACAGGGGGTGTTCTCAACAATTCAGCAGAAGGCTGAGTCAGATTCTGAACCACTGCCTCACAGAAATTAGATAAAGTGACCTATGAAGTCATGGTATCCACCCCCATTTCAGGAAATCTTGGTCCTCAAGAAATAACAACCATTTTTTTTTTTTTTTGTCCAGTCCAACTTTCACAAAATACAGGATGGAACTTTCACTAAAATCCAAGAAGATACTTCATCAAAGGTCTCAACATACAGGAAATTAAATTGCAATTTTCCAAAGATTCACTAAGTTACAGGAGCAGTTTATCATTCAGACTTGCCACTCAGTGCTTGTCTACAGCCAAACCTATGCTAAAGGAATTACAATGTGCAAAAGAGACATATCATACAGATCCTCTAACTACTATGATCCCTGACTATCCAATCACAATTTGTGGTGTTTAAAAACAGTGTTTTTATTTTATTTAATTATTTTTTAAGAATAAATATGTTCACTCAAAGACAATAAGGAAAATATCTTCAGGATAACAGCATCCTATCCTCTTCAAAATTCTCTATAGTTCCTAGACTATTTTTTTTGGGGGGGGTCTCATGCACTGCCACGAATATGACTTCTTCATAGTTCTAACACAATTAGGGAAAAAACACAAAAACAATGTGACATGACTTTGGCAGGCATACATTTTCATTTAATAACCAAAAAATGAAGTAATTACTTTTCTCCTAAGAACTGACCAATACTATAATATTCATTCAAAACTTACTTCCAATTCTTTAATTTTTTCTTCTGCTATTTTCTGCTTCTCTAACAGTTGGCTGTGAATTACCTCTTTGGATTGCAGAATAAACCTACAAAACAAAACAAATGAAGATTAAGCCACATAATCACTATATTCATTAACGTCAACAGCTATAAATCACAAATATTAAACTAAGAAAACTAAAAGGATGATCACCCAACTCAGGAAAAACAAAATGCCATCATTAGGTTAATGTGATTCATCAGGAAACCACCACAGATTTAAGTTTTCTTGGCAGAGAAGGAATAAAGACTTAATTAAAAGTAAATTCAAATACACAATTGCTGATGCAAGAAACTGTATACAGTATTATACAGTATTATGAAATATATACAGTATTATAAATTAATGTCACTTCAATGAAAAGAATAACAATAAATTCAGCCTTCTTGATTAAGAAAGGAATCAGATTTCAAGTAGATTCTACATCAAAGAGGGAAAAATAGGGGCCTCCCTGGTGGCGCAGGGGTTAAAGACACAGTGCTATCAAGCTATCACCAACCACTGCAACACGAGTTCAATCCCCAGCCAGGGAGCTACCCACATGGCACAGCAGACCTCTCCTTTCTTGCCTGCTGCTCCCCTCAGCAGTGTATTTCAGTCAGTCTGCCTGTTCTGCTCCCCACTCTGTCTCTGGTGAATCCTTTCATCCCCCAGACTTCTGGCCTACACCCCAGTTCTTGTATGCATAAAAATAAATCTTTTTTAAAAAGGGTAAAATAACATCAAGCGGAAAAAATCTATCATAGGCTAAGAGAAAAGTTAACAAACATTAAAAATCCCCCATAATTTTTATTTTTTTAGTTATCTAAGACAATTTTTCTCTAGATATTTTTAAAACAATAAATTTGAGTTCCTCCTCCAATTTTTTTTTTTTTTATAACAGTAACTCATGACCTTTTAAAGTCACAATCAAGCACTGTGTTAGGATCAATGCATTAGTGTTTATATGAGTTTCTCACACACAAAAAAGCGCTGTATAAGGCCTAGTATCTTTTAATATTATTTCCAGGGTTTATAATACCTCTGAAAAGCTCAAAATGCAGAAGTGGAAAATTCTGATTTTTTCAATTTTACAGTCAGACACATTATTTACCACTGATGAGGGTGGAAATATGAGGACACTTTAAAAATTAACACTGAATTAGTTTTGTGACTTTATGTTCATAATTCTTGCTGTGGGGAAGGAAGAACTAACTATTTTATAGCCTCAAGTAAATGAACTGTATTATTTCCCTTCCACCGGAAGCAGGGGAAAACCTCAATTACTCAAATCATTTTCGGATTGTTCGACTAGCTATGACAGATTTCAATTAAATATTACAATTAAGCAGACTGTTTCTTCTCTTTGCACATTAAAGGTTTCGCAACAACCAACTAAACATAAGTTCTTAACAAAAAGCCAAACTGCTGACCTCAAAAAACAAGAGTGTGTCTAGGTAGGTTCTTACAAAGAGGATCTGGTATTATAGATCTGAAACAAACAAAACAGATCAAAAAGAACAACTCCTCCTTTGCCTAGACACCTTGCAAGAAACTGCCTTTCCTCCCAATTCTTCATGAATATACCTTGCCACAAATATTAACAGTCTGGTAAGTGTCTCTTTTACTCCACTAATTTATAAAGCCTGTACCCTGATGTGGACATTCTAGATAATTCATCTGCTGATCCTAGTCTTCAGCAGTAACTTTATCCTTGTAAAAATCTTACACATCTACAGCAAAGACAGATCACCTTCATGCAAAACAAGAATTACTACATAACCCTTTGTGACTAAAGTGTTCTCATTTAGTACAAGAGACAGGCACTATTTCTGATAAAACTACGGTTTATAGAATATTCTCCTCAGACCGTACTAGTTATTTAATATAGTGTTGAAAAGAATTGTATTTAAATTTCAGTATCACCGTGTAGAAAGTATCATAAACCTAGGCTCAAGAGTCACCAAAGTATGTCATTATACACATAATTTTCTAAGAAAGTCTTTTAGCTAGGGATATAATAATCTTCACAGCAAAATACACATTTTTAAATAGCATTGATTGCTGGCCAGTGAGTAGTATTCTCAAATAAAAGGTCATCAGACATTATCTTTATTAGTGTCTGGGAAATTTTCAAAGCTAAGATTAGAGGTCAAGTCATTACTTATGTGGCCTTTAAAAATAAAATATCTGAACAGATACTAAATCCCTGGAGCAGAAAATAAATTTACTAGAAAGCAAGAATACTCAACAACAAAAACATGTTTTTCCAACGCCACACACCCTGAGGTAGCTATATTAGACTAAGTCAGCTTAAGGCCAGAGAGATGTCACAAAAGCTGGCCAAACTACTATAAGCCTAGGGAGACCTCAGTCCTGACAATTTTAAACAAAAATGAGTACTCAGTAAACTCACAAATCTCAAGAGTAGTTACTTAGTCAAAATTCAAACAAAATTATGAAAATTTGTTTTAGTCCTCAATTTAAAAAACGCCGAAGATATACTATATGGAGACAGAAAGGGGCCTCAAGAAACAAAATCTAGAAAATCACTTATTTGTGTTTGAATTATCAGATGCCGTTCTGTTGTCTTTTTTTTTTTTAATTTCAGGTGCTGTGTGAAGATAGAGGATCTATCATAATAATGTAAAAATGAGAATGATAAACAAATATTATGCACATAGTTTCTCAAAGTAGTGTGTCTCACAGAGATTTTGCCTTATAGTTTATGGAAAGCCAAATGGCAAATAAAGGATACTTAGTTAAGAATGTGGTGCATGGGCCTCCCCAGTGGCGCAGTGGTTGAGCACTGGGTTGCGAAGCTGCCGGCAGCCTCTGCAGCGCCCGTTCGATCCCGGCTGCTCCCCGGCCACCGGAGGAGGGTCCCACATGGCGCGCAGACCTCTCCTGCTGCCCGCTGCTCCCCTCAGCAGTGTACTTCGGTCCTTCTGCCTGTTCTGCTCCCCGCTCTGGCTCTGGTGAATTCTCTCACCCTCCAGTGCTTCTGACTGTACCCAGCGCTTGTATAAATAAATAAATCAATCTTAAAAAAAAAAAAAAAAAAGGAATGTGGTGCAGGGCCTTCCTTGTGGCGCAAGGCGTTAAGATGCAACCTATGAAGCTGTCCGCAGCCTCTGCAGCATGAGTTCAATTCCTGGTCAGGGAGCAGCCCACAAGTGCAGCAGACCTCTCCTGACTCACCCGTTCTGCTCCCCACTCTGTCTCTGGTGAATCATCTCACCCCCCACACCTCTGGCCTACACCCCAGTTCTTGTATGCATAAATAAATAAATGTTTGAAAAAAAATCATGTTAACAAAAAAAAAAAAAAGAATGTGGCACATGGGCAACTTCCTGTCTCCATCTCTCAATCTCTCTGTCTCTCTCATGTACTTTCTTGAGTACAACAGAGCATCATTTCTAACTCATAACACAAAGAAAAAAAGAATGTGGCACAAGGAAAGGCAAACTAAGAAGAAATTATTTTCATATGACAAATGATATGCAGAAAATATACTTCCAAGACTCAGGATTATACCATCTAGACAAGAGTCACTGCTTTGTAAAAAGCTTCTAGTTTGACATGGAAATCAGTGCCCTCCCTATACTCTGTTTTTAAGGATTCATAGCCTGCTAGTTCACTTCCTCATTTATTTGTAGTTATGCCACCTGGAAAACAATTTTATGATGACTTTGGTTCTGTTTGAGAAATACCTGAGGCTGTGTGCTCAACTGTCCCACAGGTTAATACATGACTTCCGTTTTCTTCTGACTCAGCATGAATCAAAAATGTTGCTCATCTTCCCAAAACACAACCAGTGGTAATATCTTTTGGGTACACTTCCACCTAGACATACATTATTCAAAGACAACAATAGTCTCATGATAATGTTCTTTGGGTGGGAAATTTTCAGAGGATGTGTGAAAACATACTCTAATAGCATTTAGAATCTGCCCACACTCACTCTCAAGTGTGTACTGTCACCTACAATAAACTGTGGCCTTGTGCCACACGTTAAGCAGCACAGGAAAGAAGAATGAGTCTGTCTTTGTCAGTTATAGCTCAATAAAATTTGTAAAATTCAATGCCTTATAATGAACACTAACCAAAAAAAGAAAAGAACATGTTTGGTTTTTTTTTTTTGCCTCATTCTACTGGCAATGAAAATTATTTGCATGTGTACACAAAGATCTACATGCAAAAAATCTATTGCTTAATATTTTAGCAAAAAAAAAAAAAAAAAGTACGAATAACCAAAATCCCTCAGTAAGGAAGTGATTTTAAAAAGCATGCTACATCCAGGGCCTCCCTGGTGGTGCAAGGGGTTAAGTCTCAACACTGAAACTATCAGCAGTGGAAGCTAATCCACATGGCCCAGCAGACTTCTCCTGTCTCGCCCACTGCTCCCCTCAGCAGTGTATTTCAGTCAATCTGCCTGTTCTGCTCCCCACTCTGTCTCTGGTGAATCTTCTCATCTCCCCGCACCTCCCACACACACCTCTGGCCTACACCCCAGCTCTTGTATGCATAAATAAAATAAATCTTAAAAAAAAAAAAATCATGCTACATCCAGATTACAGAATGCTGAGTCAGTTAGTTAAAGACTTCACTTGTCAGAGTAATGAAGGTAAATAAATACCTTTGCAACTCTTTTTATTTTTTTTAAGATTTATTTATTTATACATTTAAGAATTGGGGTACTGGCCAGAGCTGTACCTCTCACCATACTGGTGAGAGGATTCACCAGACAGAGTGGGGAACAGAACAGGCAGATCGTCTGAAACACACTGCTGAGGGGAGCAGTGGGCAAGTCAGGAGAGGTCTGCTACTCCATGTGGGTAGCTTCCTGGCCGGGGATCGAACTCATGCTGCAGTGGCTATGACAAGTTTCATAGATTGCGTCTTAACTCCTCGGAAGGAGGAGTTGCGTCTTAACACCAGGAAGGCCCGATTTTTTCATTTTTTTTTTAACATTTTGCTAAGTTAACCTAAGGTGAGGTTGCCATGGGCTCAAAATCAAATGAAATCAGGAATTCTGGAAGGTAAGAAAGCAATCTATTGGCTTTC